CATATTGAATGATGATATTATTTGTGATAAAGTTTAAATTATTTTTTAAAGAATTTGGATGATATGACGAAAATAAACCAAATATATTAATTTTACTTTCATCTTCTCCCTCTCTTCACTATTGCTTGAAGGAAAGTTTTGGAACTTTCTGGGGTGATGTAATTGATGGTGTAGAACAAGGAATTGATGTTGTTTTTGTTCTACATGCTGTTGATTACAATGAAAATAACTATTGCTGAACATCCTCTTGAATTAACATGAACATACCCACTTCATTGTTGTATTCTTGATGTTTACTCTTTTCAATGAAGGTTTCACGCCATGAATCCACAAAAAGTTTTTATAAATATAATAATTGCTTTCCAAAATCCGTAATTGGTGATAAAATCTTCTAAAATCCAACCATGATGCTTCCATATGAAACTTTCATGTTGTGTATTCAATGCTTTTCAAAACTATAAAGTATTAAACACAACAGCTGTTGAATCCTGGATGAACAAGAAGACGATTTTGATGAAGAGTTTGAAAATTTTTTATTGTTCTCACCTTTCAAACTCGTCAAGTAATTAAATATTAATTTAAAAGGCCTTTTCGCTCTTGGCAATACGGTCATGTTGTACAACCAAAAACAGTGCATCATAGATTCTCACCACCAAACACGAACCACCAGCCTTATTAAATTGGAGGAGCTTAAAAAAAACGTAGAAAATGAACGAGTCGTTCTCTGTTACGCATGATGGTTCCACAACAATAGGTGGTACCCTGAATAACTACAATAACTTGGATTCAAATACAGCCTCTCAATTATCAAGCTCATCCACATCTTCCTTATCATCAAGTAATTCACAATCTGGATTGATATCTAATTTGAGGAGAATTTTCAATGCTAGTTTGATGCAATATTTAGTGAATTTAAAGGTATCGGATACACATATGAAGGGTTGGAGATATTATGTCTTGTTTGGTTGGTTACATTTACATTACATGTTCATTGGATGGATTATTAATTTTTCATCAACCTACTACTCTAATGATTATACAGCTTCTACCTTATCATCACGGATTGTAGCACCATTTGGGTTCTATGGAGGTTGGGTTGCTAGGGTTTTAAATTTCCCGCTCACATTGTCTATCGATGCTATGGGATCTCCCTATGAATTATTTATTGCCTTAATAGCTCTATTTATTGTCTTGATAATGTTACTGCCCTTCCTAATGGTACTCAAGACCCGATCATTCTTTGCCGAGAAGAAGGAAAAGCTTGATTTTTACATGATTATTTATTCATTTGTAATGTTATTGATGGCTCCTTTCATGATGTTTGTAATGTCTAGTTTTATTGATTGTAATTTGAATGATTATACCTTGATGAGATTTCCTTCCAAGACGTGTTATGGAGCGAATAATATTGTCCTGATAGTAATTAGTCTGGTTGGCATGATTGTGCTGTGTTGCTTTTCAGCAATTTATACATTCATCTTGCCAATCAATGATCTCAAAACCTCTCTTCCATTTCAATGTGAAGATTCACTCTCTACGATGGTGACATTCTCTGTTACTTTATTCAGAATTCTATTCATGTTTGTAATACCACCACAATACTTATACATCAGATCAATAGTACACATGATTCTCTCATTGGTTGTGGCTGTTGTGCAAATTTATACATTATCCTATTTCAGAAGATTTGAGAATACTATCCATTTTGCAAGTACACTTTGCTCAGTTGGTGCTAGCATTGGAGTGTTGGTATCATCATTGGTGAATTCTAAAATGGAAGACATGATGGGAATTGCAATGTTTTTCGGAATAGTTCTTGGATTGTCACTTATCTTCTCCATTATTGGTGTATTGATTGGAGACATTTACACTAGATCAATCATGAGAAGAATACGGTCAATAATGAAATCTCCATCTGCTGTTGTTGGCCATATGGCTAGTAGGAATTCCTATTCTCGACAAGACTCTTATTCTACAGAGAAAGAATCGGCCGAAATCTATCTTTCATTAGAAAATTCTCTAAGACAACTGAAATTGTTTTTGAGATTTTGCTCTTCCGCACAAGATATTGAATTGGTGGTTTCATTTATTAAGGGAATTTCCACAAAGAAACAGTTTAATGATCCCAAGTTGATAACAACTTCAGCCATAATGATCGGACACAGATGGAATGATACAAATAGGTATAATTTTTCACTTTATCTATTAAAGAAAGCCTCTCGTTTAGGAGGAAATTATTGGGAAACTCTTAATATGCATTATAGAGTGAAACAATTTGAATGTTTTTAAAATCACAAAATAATAAAATAATAAATTAAGACAAATGGATTAAAAGCTCAAGGATTGAGACACCATTTGGTGAATCAACCTTGGAACCTGCTTTAAAGGATATAAATCTTTATTTATTTTCTATTCCTTCAAAATCTTGTTTGCTTGTGAGAATTTCATCATCATCTTCTCTTGAAGGCCTTTCTATCAACAAGGTAGATTCTCAAACTTGACCTTAAATTTCGTTTCAAGTTTGGTTGTTTGTAATGCTTTGATTCCTCTTCTTCTAGAACTGTCGCTTCTTCAAACAGTTGACTTGATAAGTTTTTGTCCAACTTGATGGATTCCACATATTTAGCATAGTGTAATCTCTAATGTGTACCGACCTTGACATGACAAATTACTTTGATCTCTTGGGAGTTCTGAACATGGTGAAGAACTAGTGTGTTTTTATACAAAATTATTAAAATATTATTTTAAAATCTCTCAGAGAACAAAAAGGAAGAAGCTTTGCGAAATGCTCTCAGCTCTCCTTACCAATCCAAAATAAGAACAATTGCTTATGCTTTCATGTTCTCCTTATGA